ATGCTTTGATGGAAACCATGAACATGCATACAGTTGGCCTATAAATTCTTTACTCAGAGTTACCCTTTTGCATAGTCCCCATCACATTCAATGCATTTGCACCATCATTTTACCCAGGCCTCAAATCCAGTTTTTCAGCCAATTTCAGTTTCTCACTTTTCAAACTTCTTTATCCAATGCTTAATATTGCTGCATCACCATACACACTAATAAAGACATGTATGGGTCTCATCAGCCGAACAACCCTCATCAGAAATGTAATTAATACATATGACAAATAGCAGGCATTTTGTTACAAGTTCACATAAACAGCAGATATGAAACAACGGGCATAACTTTTTTGATACCCCCATGTTTCTATTTTTTAGATTTTTAAATGATATAGGGGATTTTTGTTCTGGAGCCAGTTTCATACAGTGAACTCTCCATTACGCGGCATTCAAGCAACCAGAACAAAAAATTGAGGACATATGTCCTCAATTTTTTTTTTTTGCCAGTTGCTTGATAGACATGTACATTCTAAAAATGTTTCTTGGCAGCTAAATTTATTTAGTTGCTAACGAAATTCTCTGTTTACAACTTGCTATGGCTGACTGCCAGATTCCTCAGCTGGCAGGTGAATGTAAACAATGGGCAGTGGGTGTGTGCAATAGCCAACCTGCTATTGGCTATGGCAATTTTAAAATGGCCAATAGCAGAATCTAGCCAGCAGATGAATAGGGCAGGAGGGTTGTTGCTTGAGAGTTAATAGTAAATCTCAAGCAACCAGAAACTACAGTTATCCGGCATCTACCAATCCCCATGGGTGCCAAATAACTGGGAGTTTACTGTATTCGTTTTTGTTTTTTTTCTGTAAAGTACACATTAAATCAAGAGAATGCTAAGGTTCAGTAAATTCACAGTTATGGCATTGTAATGCCCCATAATTCTCCATGTCCACATTGTGAACAACTAACCAGCATTAAACCTAGTTTTTAACCCCTAGGTCACATTTTGTCTGGCAATCCAGAACCGATAACCCTTTGTGCCTTGATAACCAATCCTTAATTTTTTGTTAGGTTGGGTACTATAAGGTCTATTTCTAAATGGTTTGTACACAAGATTCACGTTACTTTCAACTAGTATTTATACATTTTGTGATTGTATTAAAATATGAAAGCTGTGTGACTTCTATTTAACCCTAATTATTATATATTTTTTTTACTTTTACAGGAGGAAGAGGAAATTCACATTTGTCCCGTAGCACTTTAGGACAGTCTGTTAACCAGTCATTAATGACAGCTTGGCTCAGCAGTGATCCCACAAAAGGACATCTTGAGATTACCAACCTGATGCCCTCCTCCACATTGTCTGTGAATAGCCTGGATGTTCTAGGAGAATACCTTGTCTGTGGCACTGATTCAGAGTCCATCTATGTCTTCAAAAACCTGTTTACATAGTTTGTCAAACACAGTGGACTAGAATATTTCAGGGAGTCCTTTTTTTTTTTTTTGATCTGTATTTTGCTACGATTAAACATTTTCTAATAATGGCCCAATCTGCAATACATTTATCTTCGATGCGTTTCTCCAAAAGAAGTTTCCCATTAATCTTTGGGATATTAAGAATATGTGGATGTCAATGTTGTTCCCTCAAACAACTGTAATAAAACAGTGGTTGTGTTTTCATTGTATTCTCTGTATATTTCGTATGTGGGTATTTTCCCTGGTTGTTGCAGAAAACTGAACTGCAAACCGGAAAGACAAAATTGTCAAGGGTAACAAATTCAAAACTATTTTCTACTGGTAAACTTCTGTTGAATAACCATATTTCATGTCTAGCTGCACTGTCTTCCCAATAGAGCTGTTTCCCAAGCTTCATGATATGGAGCCTTACTTTGTGGGTTTTTTTAACAGCCAAAAGTTCTATTTTCTCAATCAAGTTTGAGTGGAATAATTGTTTTGCCGTGTAGCGCTGCCTGATCACTTGTATGCAGCTGAGGAGTCTGCGCCCCCCTCTGCCCACAGCTACCCTGGGCTCCACTATCTCTCATGGAAAGTTATAAGGACAATGTACCAAAATACAGCGCTCAAGGGAAAAGGGCGGGGGAAGGAAGATAACATTCCTAATATTTAGAATAGTACTTGTTTAGTTGAGCGGCTTCGGAAGCGTACGGACCGGGGTATCCGACCGATGGATGGATCCAACAGAGAAATGATTGGCATATGGATTGGAGGGAGTTGAACACACTTCCATTGTCTGATCTCCATTCTGATCACTGAAACCATAAGCGATGAAGATTTTGTCACTTCCAGTTTCAGAATGTAATTTATTTGGCTGCTGTGGCTGGAGAAATAATAAAGCACAATCTCTGCTTCATCAGCTTATTTGTGGTCCAAATGTGATATTAGAGGTCTAATAGACCCCTGATGTCTCCATAAAGAGGAGCTGTCACTTTTTCTATACTATCACGTAGGGGGCTTGATAAGCAGTAAAAGCTTTTAAAGTGTCGCCTATTGCCAATTTCACATGCTGTAGGTTTTTTTTGGCAATTTTACAGGGGTATGCAATTTTAAAGCTTTACCCAACACAACCCCAACTTTTATATTTTACCCCCCAAATATTGGGTATTTATATTCTGTTTGTGTGCAGTCAAAATGGATAAATGTTTGTTTAAATATCATGCAACATTAAAAAAAATTGGAAATAGCATTTTTTTATTGGACGGGACCTCTGCTTTCTGAAAATATATAATTTTTGGGAGTGTTTTAAGCTGTTTTCTAGCCAAATATTCAGGTTTTATCATGTGTGTGGTTAATGTTTTGCTCATGTTATGATGCATGCTTCAAATGTGGTCTCTGCGACACACTGCCAGCTTAATGCTTTGCTGTTATGGGATAAGTTAATTGTATTGATTTTGGCAAGCATTACCAGCAACTATATTTTTCAAAGACTTTTAGGTTTTAGATAGAATATAAAATGGTTAGAACCTTTTGTCAGGTTTTTATTGCTGTCTGTGTCAATGCTGTGGAGTGTCACCCTTTTTGTCCTGGTGTCTTATCACTGAAGCACAAATAGATGGAGAATCCAAAGTTTTCTGGCTGTCACTGGGAGTGTTGGTGAGGGGGAAGTCTTCTAGTGGGGACATCTGCTTTGGTGACAACTGTGTAAGGGTAAAATCTCAGCAGAACACAGCAAATTAAAATTCAGCTGGGGATTTGGCTTTAGTTACAGTATTACGAAAATTGTCATCAGTGCAGTAAAGCAAAGCTCAAGGCACAGATTTTATTAACCCTTGCAGTAGGGCTATACTCCCCCCCAATCTATGGAGCTGTCCGGCTCTTAGACTGGTCCCTGGAGTGTGTCTCTCTCTCTCTCTGCTGCAGCAATCTAAGGTCGCTGAGTCATTGCATGCACTGTGTATAGGTTGTGAGGGCACCAAGGGACAAACCATCGCTGGAGTGTAGGAGGAGATGGACTGGAAGTGCTGTGACAGCCAGGCCTGAGGATTGGGTGAATACCTTCTTTTTTTAATTTTTTTTTTATTATTTAACAAGACACCAAATGAGCAGTTAACCCTTGCAGTGCAATGGTTAATAAAGTGTGTGCTCGGAGTTGTTTTAATGACAGCCAGCATTATACACTAATGATCAAAAATTTGGAATTACCCAGAAATGTCTATGTTGAGATAGCAAGTAATACTTAAATTCACAAAGGTAGAATCTAGTTGAGGGATTTTAGTTCATAGGTTGATAATGCCATAACGTTGTTTTAATCTCATATGACTGGTTGATTCATGAAACTTTACATTCATCCATGAATACTCCTTTTACAGCTATTACATTTTTGGTATTTTAGCTGTCACATTTGAAGAGATTTAGGAGAATCAACCAGAGATGTCAAAAAAAGCAGATGGGTTATATACTGTATCCAAAAGAAAAAAACGTTTTGGCTTCAGTTGTACTTTTAAGCAGCATTTTAAAACAACGGTCCAGTATTATCTACTTAGACTCCTTGTCTGCTTAGCCTATTTTACCCAAAAGGTAAACTTAGCCTAAGTATCAGCTGTTCCATTAGGTACCAGCAGTCACAGGGGCGCTGTGCTCCAGAGAGCACACAAAGACAGTCTCCACATATCTCTGGTCTTTTATGTCATTTCCGCTTCTACGTGAAGTGACGCTAGTCGAACAGACGTAATGACGTTTGAGGGGCGTATCTACGTTGCCCGGTGGATGACAGTGGGACGAACCGGAGCGAGTAAGTGGAACGACATAGCAACATCCGGAAATCTGGAAGGCATTTGGCAGATATTAGCGGTCAGTGAGAGCGCTTTGTATTAAGGCACAGCTTATAGTTGAATAGAGTGCTGGGGGGTGAGCTGTCCGAGATTCCGTACAAGTACTCAGGACGGATCGGGGCAAACCATTGGCACGGAGAGAGGGGAATGGGAAGGGTTTAGGAGAATCGGAGACGGTGGTGAGCGCTGCACTTGAGTATTTATATAGGCGTGTGTTGCTTTAAACCGGACAAGGGGGCGGAGTGGCCGCACTCAGTCTCCCCGCACTGTCACTCTTTGTTGGTGGGGTCTCTTCCTCACAGGCCGCACTGCTCATCGGGACTGCTTTGACACTTTCTAGGCAGGCAGCGCGCACGTTCAGGACAAAGAGGCCGGAGCGGCGGCCTGGAGAAAGCGTTACGTGGACGTGATGACGACACTGGCCTGCAGAGGTGTTTGTTTTCCTGCAGTGCTGATGTGCTGCCTGTCATTACTGTTCAATGCGGATCGTTGTGGTCTCCGATCACATCATCAGATATGCTGGTGGCAGTGTATCCCTGTGTTCATGGTGTAAACGGCTTTCACCTATGAGCCGAGTGTAATAGAGATCTAATATTGGTCTGTTCTCTGAGCAGCTGTTTACACTATATGGGATTAGTTTACCTACTTGTTATCGCAGGAAGTTTTAACCCTTGCAATGCCGGGAGCCCCACTGCAAGGGTAATTTTTTGTGGAGGTTTCACCCTGTTTACATCAATGCAACATGGAAACACGCATGTGACAATGTTTCTCAACGGGACCCTAATGCACCTATCCAGAGCATGTGTGTTGCATCATACCACAATGCACGGTGACATACTACTATGCGTGGTGGTGGTGTTGTGTGATTTAAAAAAAAAAAAAGGGTGGTGCACTTTGGTGGGATTTAGATAGCATAGGCAGACATTCAAATAAATGGTCCGCCCTGACACAACATATGGTAACACATACAAAAATGTGCTGTACCCCACGTGCGGTGTCACATTGCACAGGTTAAGGACACAAAGTAAGAGTCCAACCAAAAATCCTGCACTTTCTGCCTGCTAAAACCATTTATAAGTGAGGGGAAGTATTTTTCATGGAGCCATGGATAGCAGTGAAAACCCAACAAGGCTTTGAATCTGTCTGTGTTATCCAGAACTAAAAATAAATTGGCTTAACATACACTTTAAAGAAAAAACAAAACAAAAGGTCATTGAAACGAAGGAGATCTATAGATCATACAGTCTTAGGAAGGTGTATATTTGAGTTATAATAGGCAAGAACATGGAATAATACCCAACATGTGCGCTGCACACCTTAGTGTATGTATGGGTTATAGGGACAGGGTTGTTTATACTTTGACAGGACCCACTGTCTTCCCCCCTGTTTAAATGTAAATAAAGCCACTGACTTATTAATTCAGGAGTGCTAACAGATCAGCACTTGCTCCCGTAAAATCAGACCCTGCTTATCCAACCATTCCCACCTTTCTGCTGCCTTCCTCCTGGTCAACTGTGTCCAGTCCATCTGATCCTCTCCTGAATCCTGACCACCTCCTTCCCCTCGTCAAACTAGTCCCATCACAATCATCGCTCCCTTGTCAAGCCGTTGTTTTCATGGCATCTCTCACCCATTATATCACTTGATGCCCTTTACATTTACTAATTGGACCCCCACTGGTTTAGAGTGTAGTTTCTACATGAGAATGAAAGCCAAACTGGAGACACATTTATTTTTATGTTTTAGTTTTAAACATGTTGGAAGCGTTTACATAACTATCTGGTTCTTTCCTCTGTGTAATCATTTGTGACACTCGTAGGAGAAATTGGAGATTTGGTCGTCACTGGGATTGGAAGACCACAGACTTTAAAAACGTTATCACATGTTCTATCTCTGCTAGGAATTGAGGGGAACTTTCCCTAAACAGAGGGCTATAGACCAGACAGAGGTTGTAACACTTCCCTTCCTAAAACTAAATAAAGTTTTAGACGGAGTTGGCCTTTAAAAAACATATGGCGATATATGTTGCTGACCTGTGCACACTGCTCTGTTTAAGGTGGCTTTAATGCATATATATGTGTAAAGTAAACATGGTCACCATACTCAAAAACTATCTCTTCCTTATATTTGCTGTCATTATGCCTGACTTGCATTCAGATGTTGACTCCCCCTATTAGATCCTGAAAAGTAGACCTGATAACCTTGATTGTTAATGTGGTCCTACATGCTTCGATTTTCGTTTGAAAATCAAATGCGAACGGAAATCGATGGGACACCAACAATTTTGTTTACTGTACTCCTACTTTATTTTTGTCGATCAGTGAGGTTGGAAAATCTTACTTGGGCAAAACGAAAATTGATGAATCGGTGGCGTTATTGTTCGACAAACATCTGAGCAAGAACACGGCACATGTGCAAAACGAAATTATTTCAGTCACTCGTCAACAATTGGTTGGTTTAGGTTAGTATGGCTAACGAAGGATTTCTGAAATCGACATCTGACTATGCTTGATGAGGTATTCGAGCTATAATCGCATGAGGGCTAGAAACAAACATTGCAGACTGAAAATCTACTAGTGTATGGCCACCTTTTTATTTTGACATTTATATATCTTTGTATCTCTGTAGATTTATTCTTGTGCTTCAGGTTTATTAATCATAGGTGGTTCGTTTCTTGTAATTATGATTGTATTTTTCTTATTTTGCTGACCCTAAGGTTGATGTATTTAACACCACAGGTCAAGATTTTGTGTATATGGTGGACATAACTACAGACAACGGTACTCGGAAGACAACATCTCAGCAACTAGCTCTAAATCTACACTACAAAGTCTAGCTGTAATTTTAGCTTTATCTTTGAAAGACGTCACCAACATACATGTGTTTTCATGAAGAGGGTGGAGAAGCCAGAGGGATACAGGCAAATGAGGCCCAAAACATTCCCTGCAAGCACATATACTGGCAATAGCAGGCAGATGCTGCTGGAAATCCGCGAGAGCCTCCGTCATCTTCCGAAACCATCAAATGCTGCTAAGGTTGAACAACCGCCTGCTAAAACTGAGGATCCCAGGCAAGGGAGGAATCCTCCTAAGTTTGTCCCATATCACAAAGCCCTAGCTGAGATTCGTAACTCCCTGCAGCCTTTTGCAAATTCCTCTACTTCAACTCAGAGAGGAGGAAATGAAGTCAACAGAAAAATGCTTCATGATCTGCTGACTGCTGGATTTGATGAGGTAGAGTTGGTATTTATTGATATGTAAGATGTAGTTAATCTTCAATGCCAAAAGCCTCATCCAAAGGTGTTTAATAAATGTTCTTTTTGCCTATAGTAGCCAGTTAATTTTCTTCCTTTCTCTCACATTGTGCTGGAAACATTCGGAGCAGACTGGCTGCTATGGGTATCAAGATGTGTATTTCCTTCAAACATTTGTATGCTTTAGGCATTTATTTTGAACACCTAAAGCAAACCTTCCATGGAAGGTTGGATTCTCCCATCTGACTCACCTTTTCTCTGCTCATGCTGTGTACCTTTTGTGGAGAAACATTTTACAGGTACAGCAATGGGAGAAGATAGGTAGGGCTATTTCACACAGATAACCTTCACAGTGAGGCTCCGGAGGTCCATGCAGCTTTACTCCTTTTTGAATCGCTCTTTTCCTAGAACGAAATAGTTTTGAACATATTTTTTAAGTGCTTCAGGTTTCAAGCAGAACTAAAGTCTGTTTCTGACTTTGGGTTAGCTTAGTCATTGGCTTCACGATCAATTATTTAGGCACTATTGCTGGCTCCAGTTTCCCTCACAATTGTAAGGAAAGCAGCTGACCAGTAGAAGGTATTCAGACTTTGAGGTCATGGTTAATAACAGAAAACTAGGCTCCACTTGGGATCTGCTGACGTTTATTTTTCCATTTATCTTTCACAGTAAGATTTGGCATTAATCTAAGCAAAGGGTTAAGAGTTTGAAGGAACTCTGTATTGATAGAAATATAGAGGCTACCATTGATGACCACCTTCTGAAGGATCTAGTTGTTTGGCTGTCTCTGCCATCTGCTTTGTGAGTGAATGACCTGGACAAATATTCAGATCATGAAATAGAGCTCTTATTCTGTATACTTGCTCCAGAACTTTCCTGTCTAATAAGATAAAGTAGGTCATCTCTCTGATCAAGTGTTCTGTAAGTTACCCGACGGTCCAACTTCATCTTGCAGGTTGAACAACAATATTTAAAATTTATATAATTTCAGCTTGTAGTTCTGATGTGCTTGAGATTTGTATATCTGTAACTGTTTCTAAAAAGGTCCACTGTGTTTGAGTTACTGTAGATGTGAAATACTTCAAGCCATAATGGAGCAATTAGGTGACGATTCTTTATCGCAAGCAGTTGTTCTTCTTCAGGTATATCGAACCTAAACATTGGAGTCCCTCTTGTATGTTTCATGTGCCAGGCAATAATATTCTCTACTGTTGCCATAAGAATGTTGCATTTTATCATCTCTGGCAGTATAGATCTGATGGTGTCAGTATAATTTTGAGCACCTTGCATTACTGGGGTTTGGTAGGATTATTTAATGTTATGTAATGTGCAATACATCATTGAGTTGCTAAAAGATAATTTTTTCCCTTTATTACTTTGACCCTGTATTCACTTATACCTATTTGGGTTCAGCAACAAATATATTTTTTTGTCATTGAGCTGATTGGTTATTTGTAAACGAACAAAGGTTAGAGTGCGAATTATTCCTTTGTTAATCAGCTCCTGTATTTCTTTTTGTTTTATAATGTAGGATATGGTGGTACGAGCCTTACAGCAAACAAACAGTCGTAGCATTGAAGCAGCCATTGAGTTTATGAGCTATCTGGAGCCCTATCGAGACGCTCAAGTTGCTGCTGCAGCAAGACCCATGAATGCTGGTATGAAACCTCCAGGTAGATAGTGAACCATAACACATTTCTTGTGTCTCTTTATGCTCTGGACAAGGTATGAGCAATAAAATAGTGTTTTGCATCAGCTAAATTATTGCTTTTTCATACTTTAGTATTGTATGTAATTACACATGCTTTTGTTGTGGTAAAAATGTAAACCTTATTGTAGTCCAGTGGTTAAAGGGTAAGTGTACATTTAAGTTCAAGCACGGACAACTCCCCAATCATGTCCTAGGTAGTCAACACTAGGTGCCTTTATCCTGTGAAATTGCATTTTTTACCTGCGGGATAGCATAATGTGCTTCTTTTCTAGCACATATTTCCAGCATTTACAAGACCACAGCATGCGCTTAGATGGAGTTTGGCTATAGGGAATTAAATCAATCTGCTCGGCATGTTCAATGAAGCAAAGGACTTGGCACTCTAGGCATTGTTCTGCCGTTTAGGTTGTGGTGTTATTACTCTTACGCTGCCTTTACTATCTAGAGAGTCACTGGCTTGGAACAAGCTTGCAGGACAACCAGGGAAGTCTGAATGTTCTTTGTCTTCATTTTCCTTTATTCTTGTAATTAAAGTGTAAGCGTGGTTTTATTATCGCTGTGTGAATAGTGAGGAAACTAATGCCAGTGGTTATGCCACCACTGACATTAATTATGCTTCATTACCTACTTTCTCCCTCTTCTCTCAGTTATAAATTCTGATTGATCAGTGTGTGGGTTACAAAGTGCTATCATCATTTCAAACTCAGCTTGCTGTAATGATTTCAATTACAGTATTTATTTTTTTCCACAGTATCTTAGATACTAATTACCTAGTATTTGCCTGACTTGCAAACGCTAAAGAATTGCTTGCTAAAATGTTGATTGCAAAAAGGCCTTTTAAATATGTAAAGATACATTTTTCAAACTTTCACACAGAAAACTTTCATCCTTAAATCGCAGCAAAGGATTCACTTTGTGTGCCCCAAATTCCTTTGCAATCCCTGATATTACCTCGGAAAGGTAGCAGTGACATCATCACTGTCCACATAGCCTGTGCGTAGAGCAGAGCTGTGGGAGGGACCCAGAACGTACTCCTACTAAAGGCAGCCTGCAGAGAACTGCAGCAGGTGGATATAAGACCAGTCACTCTGCACAAGGAGAGTGAGCAGCATAGGTCACTCTTTTTTTTTTATAGGCATCTCCTATAATAAAGGTAAAGTGTACGAGTTTCATGCTGGAATACTGCGTAGATCTAGCAGAAATACACAAAGGAATACAACATTCAAGAATATACTGTACATGCCTCTTGTATTTAGACATTATTTGTTTAGCCCAAGTGTCACTTGTAAAATGTAAAAGAAAAAATCCTTTTCATTAAAAAAAATTCTTACATGCCATTTATAAACCAACTGGCTTCTATAATGTGCATTCATGGGTTTTTACTTTACAAAAGTTTGCAAAACGTTCCCATATACAGGGCAAATCAACGTGTTCGCTTTAATGCCCTTGATGTGCACGGTACAGATAGTCTTCAAAGATTTCTTATTCCCCCTTGCTGCGGCCAGAGTTTTGCACATGCATGCATACATTGGCATAGTTTTAGAAGATGGCAGCAGTATAATGGTTAAGAGGCAATGTGAGCAGTAAGGGGAGGGGAATGTTTAGGAGCCGAGGTCCTGCTCCCAGTGCTGCACTTATTGCTTTTGTGTATTTGATTATAGATTGGGAAGGTGTCAACCTTACCTATATAAAAACCCCTTTCTGCTGGAAAATCAGTTGGGTGGCATAACAATGTGCTTAGGTTTTGTGTGCGTTTTTTTTTTTTTAACCATTTCTTTTTTTAATTTTGTTTATGCAGGCAACATCCAGCCTTCTGTGAATCGCCGGCAGAGCTGGAAGGGTTCAAAGGAGTCTCTAGTTCCACAGAGCCACGTTTCACCTTTGTCTGATAGCATTATCTATGGCGGTTCAGAAATGCCTGGATCCCAATCAGAGATGGGAAGGCCGTTATCTGGATCAGGCCTTCCAGCCTTTGCTCAGCAAATTCCAGTCAATGGCCAGAGAGTAAATCCACCACCTCCACCACAAGTAAGGAGTGTTACACCACCACCACAACCTCCTCCAAGAGGAACTACTTCATCGCCACAGTCTTGGGAGCCCAATTCACAAACAAAGCGTTACTCTGGTAATATGGAGTTCCTTGTTTCCCGCATTTCCCCAATCCCACCTGGAAACTGGCATGAGGCATATCAATCTTCTAATATTAACTCAGCACAGATGATGAACCCTCAGCCACAACGACCTATGAATGCTGTTCCTGTTGGAAGGCAACCCATTATCATGCAAACATCTGGGAACAGCAAGTTTTATTCGGGGAGGGCTGGCATTCACAATGGTAATGGACAAAATGAATATATAACTCAAGTGAACAACAGTGTTGGAAGGTCACAACCTCCACCTTATCCTATGTCAAATGGTCCAAATAATGCTGCGTTGCAGATGCAAGGCAATAATGGACCAATGTCACCTTCTGCTTATAATAATGGTAATTTGCCACAGTCTGTACTAGTACCAAATAGAAATAGCCACAACATGGATCTGTATAACATGAGTATTCCAAGTCATCCAACTTCATGGTCTCAGCCCTCTTCGACCCAGTCACCTGGAAACCATGAGATGCCATCGTGGCAGAATAATATCCCTGTTAGGTCCAACTCTTTCAATAACCCAATGGCAGTTCGCCAAGTGCATCCTACTAATTCACAAGCTTCTGCTACAACTGTGACTGCAATAACTCCTGCCCCCATACAGCAACCTGTAAAAAGCATGAGGGTTTTAAAGCCAGAACTTCAGACTGCACTGGCTCCAGCACATCCATCATGGGTAAACCAGAATGTACCAGGGCTTTACTCAGAAGGGGTGCCTCACAACAGTGCTTTGATGCCTGCACAACCAGAAGCACCAAATTACCAAGGGCCACCACCACCCTACCCAAAGCGCTTGCTTCAGCAAAACTCTCCCAGTTATGAAACTGGTCAAAAATCTAACAAGGATGATCTGTCTCCTGCAACTTCCAGTTCTCAGGAAGAAGGAGAAAGGGCATCTGAATCCACTGTGGAAACCACTGAGAAAGAGAAGAAACAAATAACTACATCCCCTGTGCCAGTTAGGAAGAACAAGAGAGATGAAGAGAGACGGGAGTCGCGCATCCAGAGCTACTCACCCCAGGCTTTTAAGTTTTTCATGGAGCAGCATGTTGAAAATATTCTAAAATCTCACCATCAAAGGTTGCACCGCAAGAAGCAGCTGGAAAGCGAGATGATGCGAGTAAGAATGCTATTTTCGTTTGTCTGAAAGAGGTTTTCTCTTTCAGTATAATTGTCGGAAGCTAAAATTTATTATCAGAACATAGTTAACAGCAGAAACTCCTTATATGCATGAAATCATAAAATGATTTCATCTGGCTATTTATAGACTGATCTTTTTTTAAGTGCATAGGTTTGCAGTGTCATGTTTATCACAGGATGACAAATTATTCCAGTTCAAGAAGTTGGTCATGAGGGGTCTATCAGGATCTTTTAACCACTTGCTGACCGGGGTGTTTATACCCCCTTCCTGACCAGGCCATTTTTCAGTATTCAGCGCTGCGGTACTTTGACTGACATTTATTCCGTCATGCAACGCTGTACTGAAATACATTTTATACAATTTTTTGGGGACAGATAGAGCTTTCTTTTGGTGGTATTTAATCACCACTACAGGTTTTTTTTTGTTTTTTTTTTGGTTTTTTTACTGTATAATAAAAAAGTACCGAAAATTTAGGAAAAAAAACATGTCAAGCTTTAAAATTGCGCGCACCCGTTAAATCGCAAAAAACTACCATACTCAAAATTGACCATAGCCGATACTTTAAAAGCTTTTACCGCTCATCAGTTTAGTGTTATCAGTGATTGATGAACCTAGAATTATTGCTCTAATTCCGAGGTTCGCGGCGATATGTAACATGTGCGGCGCAAGGGATGTAATCAGCGTTTTCGCACGTAGGCGGGCTTGACACATTTTTGCGTGTGCGGGGCGGGGGACTTTAATATTTTATTTATTATTGCTTTGATATGTGATTTTTTTATTTTTTTTTGTGACACATTTTTTAAACCTTTTTTTTTTCACTGAACTTTATTGCTATCATATAGGGAGCAAGCAAGCTCCCTATGTGATACACAATTTGCAGTGACAGGTCCTCTTTATGGAGACATCAGGGGGGCCGCACACCCGACCGGATATTACAAGCGATCGGGCGTCTTTACAGACGCCTGAACGCTTGTATGTAAACAGCCATCGCTGGCTGTTTACATTCAAAGCCGGTTTCCCGCTCGTGCCCGCCGCCTAGCGGCCGGCACGAGCGGAACGGGATAGGACGTCTAAAGATGCCCACCCGCCCTCAAGAAGCCGCTGTCAGGCCGTTTAATTACAACGGCCCGGCAGCAGGTAGTTAAAGAAAAAGTCAGTTGTTCATGCACTGCTAATACTAAACAGGGCTAATAAATAAATGGGCCCTGCTGTCAGGGCTGGATTTACCATTAGACATGTGCCTACAGGCGCCTTTTATAGAGGGGCGCTGTGCAGGAATCTACTCTGCCTAATTCCCAGTGCTGTGTGAAGATACAACAGCGGTAATAGCAAGGAGGGTACATTCTGCACAAAATGCACCCTCCTGCTCCTAGACCAGCATTGCCTACAGGAGCCACCGGCCTCAACAAAAGGCAGTGGAAGGACCCTGATGCTGCGTAAGGTTTCCCTGTAAAACCCCTGTCTGATGTGGACAGGCGTTTAGGGCAGCCTTATGCAACGCCAGAGTCCTTCTATGCATATGTGAAAGCAGAGGGTACCACAAGTAAGGGCACCGACTCAGGCTAAAAAGATTTCCATTTCCATTAGGCAGGGCCGGATTCCCAAAATGGGTCTGTGACATCATGTCCACAGTGGCAGCCTGGCCAGTCACAAACAAAGCAGACACCTGATTGTACTGCTGATTTTGAAGGTAACTACTCTTTATCAGACCAAATGGAGCACTGGAAGAAAAACATTGTGGCAAAAGTGTCAACGTAGTTTACAATCTATTTAGGTATTCCTGCAGTAGGAAATTTTACTAAAACAAAATGAAATGCTAGTTCCCCTAAAGATCAGGCATAATTATGTTCTGCTTATTCAGCACACCAGTTACAATAAATCACTTGATTCCTCCATCTAAGCTGAATGGAGGAATCTCCCCTGCTGCCAATTATATTCAAACGGCCCCGGCTGTCTGAATACGGAAACCCTCACTGCATCTGATTTGCATGTAGTCGATGTCCGCCTGACAATTTTCCAGCCAGCTCAGTCAATTTTTTAGTAAACTTTTGTCGAGGGAGGTGGTGCTGACAGGACCACCCACATCTGAGGCATGTATGGAGCTACCTTTAGACAAAGTGTACTCGTCTACCCTACTTCCACTTTTTAACGACATCTTGTGGCTGTGGCTGCAGTCTTCCACATTGCTGTCTGTGCCTGCTCATTCGTTCCATATAGACATCTATGAAGATGGTCTGGAGGCAGACTCAATACTCTGGTATGGAAAAGTCCACTTTTAGTGGATGTAAACAGCACCAGTCTTGCACATAAAAGCAGCTCCTTCTTTTAAAGTTGGTTGAACACTGCTTACTACACACCAACTTTGTATTTAATGTGGAATTCAAGAGGCAGAAGGCACTGAAGCTTGGGTGCATAAAGATCTACTGGTGAATATAAGGAAGCTAGGGGCCAGTTACAATTTTGTAAATGTATTGGTTCCTTGACTCCAAGAATTGTACTGCCCTGTTTTTTAATGTTAGTGTCTAACACAAAAATACTACTTGTTCTATCAGTAAAGTAACAGGTGATCATCAAAATAACATCCGCCTGGAGACGGCAACCCGCAAATGCAGCAGTGCCGTCCGTCCGTTTTTTTACTACGGGCGGACGGCAAGAGGTTAAGGTCCCGTTCACATCAAAACTGGAAGGAAACCGCAAGTTGATGGAGGGTCCGTTGAATTTCGTTGTTCTGCGTTTTTTTTTGTTTTGTTTTTTTGCCAATCTTTATTTTAATTAACATGTCCTGAGCGGACAAACAGCTATGTATTTGTTTTTACTTCCTTTCCATTGCAGTGCGATTACATTTGCTTTTGTTATGTTACGTGGAATAAAGTAGAGCATGCTCTACTTTTTTTTTCATTGCACTGCAACGGAATGCAATTATGTGATCCAGTCCCATTCACACTCATTCATTTTGCAGTGCCCTTGCTTTGGCATCTGTTGGAAAGTGGATCACAATACAATGGATCTGGTGTGAATGTGGCCTTAGGGAAAAGCACTTTCACTTTATTTTGTTTTGTTTATTGCCGAATTCACCATATGGTGCCTGTTGAAGGTACCCACCTTAAATTGGTCCTGTGCTAATTCTATGGAAATAGAACTTTACATGTGAAAATAAAGCGGAAGCCCTCCAATGTTTTTCATCATAATATGCTCATTTGCACAGCATGTTAGAGCAATAAATGCAGTGAAAATTACTTGCACATCTTAGTAAACTGACCTTTTTTGGCAGTTTAGTATAGGCTAAAGGCTGAGGCTTTCTTTACTTTACCTCAGTTCACACTTAGGCTGGGTAAAAAACGCTCAAACAGTGAAATCCCATTAATTGTTATGGACATGGTTCCCACCTGGGCGTTTTTCAGCGCTGATCGAAGCGCTGCAAAATGCCCAACGCTGCGAAATACTACTTGAGCTTCTTCCAGGCGTATTTCAGCGCGTCTCCATTTCACTGCATTATCGTGATTTCGTAAAAGCGCGTTTCGTGGATGCAAAATCGTGTAAAAAACCGTGCGGCCCGAAAACGCGCACATTACAAACGCCCAGGTGTGAAACCAGCCTTAAGGAAATCAGACCTGTAGACATTCTATTTAATGTACTAAATTCTAACAGTGAATGTGGTTTTTGTTCGAGAAACTCCATTCATTCCAAAATGGAATGATAAAGAAGAGCTCCTAGGAAGAATTGTATTAACCCTTGCCATGGAGCTACCCCCACACTGCAAGGATTAAATGCTCATTTTTGCCTAGGGTCAAAAATAATAGTTCTACTCACTCGATCTTCAGATCTGGCCAGCTGTCACATTGCTCCAGCCTGTCTCCTCTCACGGCATCCTCTTCTCTTATACACAGTGTATAGAACGTGATGAGTCGAGGACCGCTACAGGGGAGGGGGAGTGGTGCTCCAGGGAGCAGTCTAAGAGCAAGACGGCTCTGAGGATCGGACGAGTTTAACTTTATTTTTGACCCTAGACAAAAATGAGCACTTAACCCTTGCAGTGCGGGTGTAGCCCCACTGCAAGAGTTAATACAATTTTTACCTAGTGTTTTGCTTTAAAACTAGACGAAATTTTGAATGACATTCACCAAGTCTCTAATGGAATCGAATATTTACTCGGTATCGCGGCCGATACCGATGCTTGTATCGGTATCGGTGCATCCCTAATTCTGACAAAATCTATCAGTGTATTTAGTGTGTGTGTTTTAGCAAATTACATTTCAGTGGTCAGATTAATTCCTTGTGATCAACCACCATCTAATATATTGGCCTTTAAGAGGCATTATTTTGTTATAGATTGATTCATGCATTTGTAACAAATCCTTGGGTATATATTTAGAAAGACTCTTAGCCTTTACGTTATATTTTATTTGCTGATTTCACTACATTTCCTCCTCAATCTGTTTCTTCTCTTAGCTTTTCTACCTTTCTCCCTTTTTTTCCCCTACTCACTAACAGATTTAAACAGTTAAGGTTGGAGCTTGGCTGAGTTCTTCAAGCCTCCATTACTGGGTAGGCAAGTAAATGTCAGCGCCATGGTGCTGTGTTAACAATAGCATGATCTTTTTAGGCCACTGCATGCGATAAAAGTAAGCATGAGGTTGTCACAAAATTCTGCACAATGGACTAACAGACTGAAGGCTTAATATATATTTAAAGAAGAACTAAGGGGAAAAAAACTTCTTAACCCTTGCAGTGCGCCTAGGTGCAAAAATAAAAATAAATTATATTCACCCGATCCTTGGAGCCACCTGGCTGTTAGACCAGTCCTTCCAGGATCTCTTCCACCCCGCTACAGCGGTTTAAGGTGAGTCATGTCAAATACATGTGTATTAGAGGTGAGGATGCTGGAGCGGGGGAGGAGACGGGCTGAAGGGAGGTGTGAGGTTTGGGTGACTATAATTTTGTTGTTTTTGCACCCAGACATAAAATGAGCACTTAACCCTTGCGGTGTGGGGGTAACCCCATTGCAAGAGTAAGAATATTTCTTCCCGGAGTTCTTCTTTAGGCTTGTGAGTACCCTTTTTTTTTTTTTTCTGTGCAAAATCATAGAAGTACTTATTTTTCCATCTTGCATCTGTAAAATGTATAAAATGTTTTTTTGGTTGTTTTTCACTTTTTCCCATTTCAATTTGTTCAGACTCTTTGTATGATATAACTAAGCTATGCTTGACGTTTTTCTCAATGCTGGGTAACATGTGGACTGTGGTGAAGCCTAGTATGTTTGTTACAGAAACCTTTAATATTTTATTCTGGAAAATAAATGATACTGGAAGGTTTTTGAACTTCTCATAAATTTTATGTAGCACAGCAAATATCAATATTTGCATACTCAATACAAAAAAGTCTTAATTATATTTGTAGTGGTTCACTTGCAAATGCCAACTATTCTCCCTTAGGGCCAATGTTGACTGGCTTTAATCTGCAAACACAGCTTTCTTCCGATATCTGTTTAAGATTCTTCTGATATCGTTCAGAATTCGTTGCAGGTACAGTTGACCTGCATTTTTGAAGACTTTTATGGGGAGAGAAGCAGTTGTGATACGAACAGAAGCCATTTGATACTGGCCCTTGTGGAGATACCTGAATTTAGAAATGTTGACATTGAAGACTAGTTTGAATTGAATACTTTGATAATGCCATCTGTGGCAAGCATGCTCTGCATCATCACTGCTACCAAACGCCCAGTGCTAAAATGCTATGGAAATAACTCTTTAATGGCACTGGTCATATTCATTTGCAAATATGTCCAGACCCAAATTAACCTCTGAGGCTCTAACTGGAATATATTATCTTACATCAATGTTTTCCATTAGGTGCGACTGTCCGCAGATGCTCAGGACCAAATGAGGAAGATGTTGTGTCAGAAGGAATCTAACTATATACGACTTAAGAGAGCCAAAATGGATAAATCCATGTTTGTAAAAATTAAGACTCTTGGTATTGGTGCCTTTGGAGAAGTGTGCCTAGCCAAAAAAATTGATACCAATGCTTTGTATGCAATGAAAACCTTGCGGAAGAAAGATGTCCTATTGCGCAACCAAGTAGCCCATGTCAAAGCTGAAAGAGACATCTTGGCAGAGGCAGATAATGAATGGGTAGTACGACTGTACTATTCGTTCCAGGACAAAGATAACTTGTACTTTGTCATGGATTACATTCCAGGTGGCGATATGATGAGCCTTCTGATTCGTAAGGAACTCTTTCCTGAGGATTTGGCCCAGTTCTACATAGCAGAGCTCACATGCGCAGTTGAGAGTGTTCATAAGATGGGCTTTATTCATCGTGACATCAAACCTGACAATATCCTTATTGACCGAGATGGCCACATTAAACTCACTGATTTTGGGTTATGTACTGGTTTTCGGTGGACCCATGATTCAAAATACTATCAAAGTGGTAAGCAGTGTTACACATTTCATTAAACCATAAACTAACCACTCCTATAGTGTTACATGAAAGGAAAGATAGAGTACTTATTAAAATAAGAGATAGCCCATTGTCCCATTGCACTCCTGACCACGTAAATCCCTTCAAGAATTGGGTGCTGCGGTAGTCAACGGGTGGCAGCCGTAACAATCGTGAGCTAAAGCAGAGACACCGGCACTCCAAATTTGCAAAATACGTCTATTGACGTGCATCGTGGTAAAAAACAACGAACGTTTCGGGGTCACAAAGCATCTCCTTCATCAGGTAAAACATGTTGAAGTGATCCTTTGTGACCCCGAAACGTTCGTTGTTTTTTACCACGATGCACGTCAATAAATAGATTAAAGTCCTATGGCTATGGCAGCCCTTACCAGTAGTAGCTTCTAGTTCTATGACCGTGTTGTATCTGATAGCTTCCCCTCACAGATGCAATGATCCGGAACCAATCAGCATTGTTTTGAACATGTAATCACTATGGTAGCCAATCATAGTAATCATATGGCTTTGTTTACAAACAAACAGATAATGGCTGGCTCGTATGTCATTTTGCCGGACATGGACGGAGGCTCATTGACAGAAGCGGCCAACAGGCTACTGCTGTTAAAGTGAAATGCAAAGTGTAAAATAAGATTTTTAAATTTTTTATAAGCTGTAAAGTGTTAATTGCATTTTTCACATTTTGTTGATTTTTTTTTCTGCCTATAGTTATTAAAACAGTGCACCAAATAAAAAGCCATATACAGGTGAAACTCGAATAATTAGAATATCGTGCAAAGTTCATTTATTTCACTAATGCAACTTAAAAGGTGAAACTAATATATGAGATAGACTCATTACATGCAAAGCAAGATAATTCAAGCCGTGATTTGTCATAATTGTGATGATTATGGCTTACAGCTCATGAAAACCCCAAGAACCCCAAATCCACAACCTCAAAAAAGTAGATTATTACATGCAATCAATAAAACAAGGATTGTACATAGAACAATATGGGACCTCTGAAAAGTACAAGCATGCATATGTACTCAGTACTTGGTTTGGGCCCCTTTTGCAGCACTTACTGCCATTACTTTTGCATGATATTCTAATTATTCGAGTTTCAACTGTATGTCCTTTTGTATTTAAAATATTTAGGTTGATAGATTAGTCATAGAGTTAAAGTCAAGTTAAAAGGAAGCGCTTGTCCAGGTCCTTACATAGTCACAGCTAGGGGAAAATTCAAGGAATGTGGGATAGGTTGGCTAAATACCAAGGGAACACAATCACGTGTAGGCAAGAATGAGGAACCATGGGGTGATAAGTCATTCAAGATGAGGTGTATAATCACTACATTGTCACAATTATCTAGCCAGGGTTGTCATGTGTTTTTTTTTGTGTTTTTCCATACCCTAATTTATTTTTTGCATTGGATCAATTGTGTTATATGCATTTTACAATTTATGGCAGTAAGCCGAATCAAATTATAGTTGGAAAACTTTGAGGGGCATTTACCAATACTAGAGCATAGCAACCAGTCCACTTCTAGTTTTCATTTTCTAAGCGTAACTGAACAAGCTAAGGATAGAAGCTGATCAGTTTCTGTGCACAGCTGCTCCAGTTTTAGATAATTACCTTCATTGTGTCTTGAGATGTATTGCCCAACAGTAAACAGAAGGGTTTAGCATCTATTTTTTTTCAACTTTTTATAACAATAGCTTTTTTTCACCATTCTGTTTTTTTTTTTTTAAATAGAACTGGCATCTTTGCAGAAAAACTGAATGTACTTTATGTTTTCCTCAGGTGACCACCTGCGACAAGACAGCATGGATTTTAGTAATGAATGGGGAGATCTAGCAAATTGCCGTTGTGGTGACAGGCCTAAACCTCTTGAGTGGCGTGCAGCAAGACAGCATCAGCGCTGCTTAGCCCATTCTCTTGTCGGGACCCCGAATTACATTGCACCAGAGGTTTTATTGCGTACAGGTATAGAATATTTCAGATCACTGTCTTGTTTTTCACTAAAGTGGAAACCTAACTTGCATTTCTGTGTATGTGTGTGTGTATATATATATATATATATATATATATAATGTGTGCGTGTATGTATATATATATATATATATCTTTCTGGCTTTTTAATATTAAAATAATATTTCTTTATAGTTCATTAAGGGACATAGGATCAGAAGTAAATAAGAGATAGTTGGGGGAGGAATTGGACACTGGCAAATAAAAGCAGTTGCCAGCCAGGTATAACCCCCTTCGACTCCCATCATGCTTCACATTTTTGGTAGTGTCCTTGGAAGATGGACATCTTTAGTTGTAGACACCTTGATGGTGCAAGGAGCTTTGGGCACTGGAAGAAGCTTGTCTTCCCATCAACATTCTGGACCTCTAAGCAATCTGGTTATCCCTTCAAGGCTTGACCTCTTGGCTGTAGGGCCGTCAGATCAGAATTCAGTCAGACAGCACCACAGAAGTAGCATTTATCAGGGAGAAACCAGGAGTCTTGCTGCAGAGGGAGAAATGGAAAAGATTCTGTCTTGGGAAGAACTCCACGTTCCAGACTTGTCTGCCTTTCACATTCTGGCCATGGACAATTGGAAAGCATACTTCCTAAGTGACAGGATCTGGATGCTAGGGGATGGTCTCTATATCTAGTGGTGTTTCAAGATCTTTTTGGCAGGTGGGAGGCATCAAATGTGGATCTCCAATTCAACAACTGACTGCAAGTTTGTATCCAGAAGCAGAGATCCTCTAGCACCGTATTTCCTGGTAGCTCTCTATGGGATCAGTACAACCTTTTCTCCTCTGAAACTCCTTCCTCAACTACTCTGCAGGATCGACATGGAGGGCATTCATGTGATCCTTAAAGTGACACTAAGCTCAGTAATTATATCTTAAAAATGCATTCAACCATCCTAACCTTATTTGTGTATCACTTAGCTATTGATCCTCAAATCATCTCTGAATTCATGCTGACTCTGTCCTTCCTTCTAGACGCTGGCTACTTTTCTTCCGCATGGTCCCTGGGTGTGTTGTAAAGTAACCACCGCTCCAAGCTCATTACTTTGATGGACTACAATGTCACATTTAGTTTACTAATTTGTTTTGAGATTGTAGTACATCACAGGAGTGAACTTGGAGCGGTTTACAACACACCCAGAGCACGGGGAAGAAAAGTAGCCACCCTCCAGAAGGAAGGACAGTGTCCGCATTAATTCAGAGATGAATTCAGGATTTATAGCTGAGTGATACAGAAATAAGGTACAGTATTGTTAATGGGGTACTTGAGTGTCACTTTAGCGCACGTAACTGGCCCAGGCAGATGTGGTCATCCAACCTCATCATTTCTAAATCAGTAATTCCACGCCACGCATGGTCTACCATCACACATGGAAAGCATACTTTGCCTAGTGTGAGGCAAGAACATTTCATCCCAGAAAATACTTTGTGGGAAGGATCATGACCTTTTTTCAAAATGATGTGGAATAACATTTGGCCCTGAATACCATCAAGGAGAAAATCTCATCTCTTGCTTCAAAGACCGTTTGCCTCTCTCAAGGTTTCTATATTTATTTACCTTAACCAGGACATTGTTCCTCCATCCCCCTGTCCAACCCCAGTGCATCCCAAAGATTCTCTTCATTGCTTGGATGTGGTGAGAGCTGTTTGAGTATATCTTGCAGCGCTCTTCAGAAACTTTGAGTCTCTTTTTGTAGTTCCTGAGGGCTCCCATAAGGGACAACCTGCTTCTCAATCCACCATTTTCTTGGTGTCCCTGACAAATCATTTATACAAGTTTGTAGGCTTAAAGATGAGGTTTCCATTCCTGCCAGGTCACATTCTGCCCTGTCAAGGCACACTCTGTCTTTCAGCATAAGACCTCTGTTTCTCAGATTTGCAAAGCCACCAACTACTCTTCTCTTCGTACCTTCTCTAGGTTTTACCATGTGGATGTTCAGGCCTTGGGTGATGCAAGCTATGGCTGTAATGTGCTACAGTCAGCTCTTTAAGCTGCAGGCAGCCCCGATTTCTATACTTTTATGTGGGCTTGTTAGTTTCTTCAGCTGAACTTTTTCTGGGTGTCCCAGTTGTTTCTGATTTAATTCTGTTTTCATGTCCCTTAATGAACAAAAAAGAAAACAGAATTTTTGTGCTTATTATAAAGTCAATTTCTTGGAGTTTATTAAAGTGCACAGGTCCAGCCCCTCTGCGTTTTTGATCTACTCCTAATACTGCTTTTACAAAACTGAAGCATGATGGGAGTGGGAAGGGGTTATACCTGGCTGTCCAATGGCTTTTTTGTATGCCAAGATCCAAGTCCCCCTGTAGACAGTCGTATAACCCAATTGTCTGATTTACTTCTGATCCTGGGTCACTTAATGATCTCCAAGAAACTAATATGTTACGGTATAGTACGCTAAGTACAAAAAATATTTTTGTTGTTGTCCTTTTTGTATTGTTTTTGTTTTTTTGCCTGCTTTAACCTTTCAGAATGTCTTAATTTTTGACTGAACAGCAACTTCCTTTTGTGAAGTTGCAGCGCTTTAATTGATGCTGCTGGGTTTTTTTCAGCACCTTCTTTTTAAATTTGCCTACAGCAAGAGCAAAATGTTATACTCCAAAGAATTTTACCCCTCCACCATGTCAAACATTTCAACAGTAAACAAAGGTTTTTTTGTCTGTTCCTTGTGTTGCAATGTAAAATTGAAAACTTATCTTCAAAAGTGAAACTAGAATACTACAGCAGGTGGGTGCACCATGTAACTCTGCTATGGAGTCCCCAAAACATAAAAGAAGTTTTGTTTAAAATCTCCACATTTTTATTTTACTCCAATTAAAACTTCAGTGGTCATAACATTTGTAAAATCCATAGCATAGTAGTCCCCATTCCAAAAGTCACAGGGATGAGGGGCAAGGAGGCTGGTGATGGTCTTATTAAAATGCCAGAAGGCACGAAATATGACACCTGTCTCCTGCCTCCCTGTTCATCACCTCTTAATGTTTTCCAGAATTGGGACTTCTAGTGTATGGATTTCACAAACGTTATAAAAATGTTTACATGCGACTACTACGGTCTCCTCGTAGTAAGTAGCTTTTCATTGGCTACAAACAAAAATGGTCAAACATGAAGAATGCATGAAAGTATGCTGGCGACGTACACTGTACGTCGTCAGTCACGAAGGGGTTAAAAAAATTAAGATTCAGAATCACCTGAAAATGTTCCGGCTCAAGTGTCAATGAGGGGTAAGAGTTTTATATTTTTGTTAATTTGCTGGAGCTGCACTAAAGCCTGACTATCTCTGCCTAAAAGAGTGTAATTTTCCTGAATAATTGAAGATACAAAAAGTTTAGAAATTTAAACCAGTGGTATCCCCAAAATAGCGGTTTTAAGAGGATGGAGTCAATCCTACATTCAGTGTGCTACATTTTCCCCTGATTTATTAGAGTATGTAATACCCCTGTAGGCACACCTAGGATCACAACTGTGGAGTGACGTTTGGGGAACGGTTTTGTCAGTGGGCGGTCTCTTGCATACTCTCTCAGCAACTTAGAGATTTGTATGAGACCGGTAACATCATATAACCGTTAGTGTGGCTTAATGGGGTTGAAAACGCAAGATGAGAGTAGGTTTAGCATCCAATGCACTCTACCCCAAAGTAGTAATAATTTGTTATAGATTGATTAGGTGAGTATACAGTCCAAGCATGTCAGTGGTGTGGCAATGGTTACTGAATATAACCCTTAGCAGATTACTAATGTCTCCTCTCTATAGCAAGGCAACACTCTCCTCAATACAGCAAGGCAATACTTTCCCCAACACCACAAGACCAGTCCCTGGGAGCAGGCACTCAGGTGAATAGCCTTTTACACACAGCTACTGACAGTTCTTAACCAAGGCTTCAATAGGGTGGTTAAACCAACAGGTTTTGATATATGCAGTATGGAGGCAAGCTGTGCCTCTGATAACCCGGGTATTTGCGGTTCCTTGGCTGGAGGTTGATCGCAGGATGGTCTCGCTCCTTTACTCTATCACAGTGGAGGAGTAGTGGAGGTAGGGTGTACAGTCCCTCGATCGGTCTGCGACTGCAGGGAAGTGAATCTTCAACGTTCACTGTCACCAACAGTTGGACGCCGAAGATTCATCTGACCGCGGCTTAAGGAGGCTTGTGCGCGTGCGCTGGAGGGAGGAGCTAGGTTACGCCGGGCGCGGCCCCGCATCGCGGCCCCGGAACGATATGGGGTAAGTTTCTTACGGAGTATTGAAGCAATATCAGATGTATAATTGTGTAACAACAGTATTTTAACATTCTTTCTACTAAATATTTGTCCGTAAAAATTATTTTTGGGTGTTTTTTTTTTCTAGTTAAGTTTTTGGTCATAGCTTTCTGGCAATTTAGATGGCTGTCATGCTGTAACTAGCTTACAGCAGAGTGTTAACTAAACCCAATAACAAAAATCTCATCTAAGCTTTAAGATGTGAATATAATGTTCAATACTTTTAAATCTGCAGTTTTCATTAAAATACATATTCACCTGCCAGGTACAGGCACTGCCTATTATAGGGTGACAACCTTGTTTTTAAACTGGTTTCCAATGTTGTCACCCTGTCACACGGGCTTCCAATGCAAAAATGCCATGCAGCTAGCGCGTGTGTGTGTGTATCTATATCAGCAATTGCCATTGTGTTAGTAAGTGGCTTTCTTGAATGCAGCTTTAACCACAATCTGGAATTTAATGGTAATTTCATTCTGATTTTAGGATATACACAACTTTGTGACTGGTGGAGCGTGGGAGTTATACTTTATGAAATGCTTGTTGGAAAAGCTCCTTTCCATGCAAGCTCACCACTGGAAACACAAATGAAAGTAAGTTGAGAAGTTGCAGCCAGGGTAGTAAACAAAACAAAAAATGTACTCTTTCTTTTTTTCATTTGTAAAAAAAAAAAAATAACACCTTTAAATTATGTCGCACGTCTTCCATCGAACAAGCAGGCTGGAAAACCCACCGGGAATCGTACGATTCTCGGCGAGTGAGTGGCCTGCTTGTTCGACAACTGACGAACGGGCCGGTGTGCGCACGCGCACACTGGCCGTTTGCCGTGGTTGCAAGCCCGCCCTCATTGCATGGGGGCCGGCTTGCGATGATCGCAAGTACGATCTGCCTGTCCAAGATGGGCAGATCGTACGTTTTTTTAAGTACTTTACAACCATCGCAAGACTAAGGTCTTGCGATGGTTGTAAAGTGTATGGCCACCTTTAAGGATTCTCCCTTGGACTCCATGGCAGTTCAAGTATTTACCCTTGCACTGTTGTCAGTTGTGGGGTCTATGAGCCTATCTATGATGTGATGCTTTTCCTATGCAGTCAAGACCAAGGGTAGCCACTTGGGTCTATGATTCACCAATAAATCCATCTGCACTTCTTATATTGTTCAAATATTTCAACCATTTTCTTGATAGATGAGCAATGTTTTCTAATGTCTGTCTATCTATCTAGTGTAAGATACTGTAATTATCTCTACTGATACGCATTCTCATTTCATGTAACTTAAAAGATAGTATAATGTTATCTAGCAATCACATTGGCTTGTATAATAATAATAAAACCTAATATATATAATATTTTTTCAGCTGTTTTTATGTTTATGGAATATATTTTGTAGCAAAGTACTGTTTATACAAAAGATCGTTCATGGATCTTGCAAACACCTTTGTCTATAGGTCGCCATAACTGAGAGGACCTTTTCTTGCTAGTAGTGCAGCATTCTTCAACTGGACATAAACTTTTAAATATATACTGTAAATGTTACCTTTTTTTTTTTTTTTTTTTATTTGCGTGTTACATTTACTGTAGTACCCTATTAACGAACACCAAAAACTGGTAACAGGTGGGGTAAGCATCAGCTACTGCCTTAACATATTCAGAAATAGCAATACATACACCTCTACTGCTAACTTCTTTCTTAAAAATTCTAGTTGCCTGACTGTCTCTGACTTTAGTACATTGAGTTACTGACCTGGAACATACATGCAGATTATAAAGTTCAGAATGAATGTGAGACTCTTGATCTGCATAGTTGGTCTGTATTATTTTAAAAAAATGGGGTCGGCTTGACAGCCAAGCCAATAGCATGTTCAGAGAGATCAGCAATGGCAGCCTACATATTCTCACAGCACAATATAGTTCTTTTAAGCGCAGCTTTTATGTCTTCTGGCTTATGCATGATTTTTCTTTTATAGGTAATCAAGTGGCAGACAGCATTACACATCCCACCTCAAGCCAATCTCTCTCCTGAAGCTTCTGATCTAATTGTGAAACTTTGCCGAGGCCCTGAAGATCGTTTAGGGAAGAATGGGGTTGATGAGATTAAAGCTCATCCATTTTTCAAGACTATAGACTTTTCTAGTGACTTGCGTCAGCAGCCTGCTTTGTATATTCCCACCATAACACACTCTACGGACACTTCCAACTTTGACCCGGTAGATCCAGACAAGCTCTGGAATGACGAAGACAAAGATGGAAATAAAAATGATACCTTAAATGGCTGGTATAAAAATGGCAAACACCCTGAACACGCTTTCTATGAGTTCACTTTCAGGAGGTTTTTTGATGATAATGGACACCCATACAACTACCCCAAGCCATTTGAAAATGATTATGACGACACAAACGACAGTGGCTACAAGGAAACTGATACTGAAGAGAGTGATAATATTGGGAGGAGGCCACCAAACCGGGATTTAGTTTATGTCTAGAGTCAACACACGCATTTATAAAGTCTTTCAGATCCTGTGGTTTGTTTTGAAAGACCTGCGTAAGTAGCTGGTTTCTGCTACATTGGGAGCATCAGAAAACACAAATCTGTGTATTGAGTGCAGCCACAAGTGGCAAATTCAAACTTCAGTAAGAGATGTAATTAAGCATTAGTTGTCATTGCTCGTTACTGAAAAATAATGCTGGAGTTTGTAGCCACTGACTAAAAAAATAGAAGAGGACTTTTTTTTGTTTTTCTTCAGAGCACCTTGTTTTTACTTTTTTTTTGTGCTTTCAAATTACTTTTTTTTGTTTTATTGGGCACACAGTATAGTTTTCAATGGACTGGGAAGTCTAAATGAATTTTAAACTGCAAAGGTACAAGTTTGCAAGACAATGATGGACGTTTATGTAAAAAAAAAAAAAAGTTACATTAAAGCCTCATAACAGCTATATATCAATCCTATTTATGTAATTACAATATTTATAAAGCATCATAAAGAATATTTGAATTGATACGTGAGATGTGGATCCTAAGAGCATTGGAAGATGTGGCAGTAAGATGCATTTCATTATGGCTAAACACAACACTAATTTCTACCAACACAATCAATTAGATGTAGAGAAATTCAAAATCCACCCAAGACTGATATTTAGGCTGACTTGGCTCTTGGCACCACCTGACTTTTTAACAGGAGTAACCTCGATTTCGGCAACTAGTGCTGAAGAAATCCTGTAGCTAAAACCTATCAATGGCAGAAGGCATGGACTTCATGCAGGGGGAACTTGCTATTTAGACTTGTAATGCTATAAGTAGATGGCAGCTGTTTCAGTCTGTAGTCTCACTTTTGGGTGGATTTTAGCCTAGAACAGATATGTACAAAATACTTTGGACATAATAAAATTACTATTTTTGTATCATGACACTATGAGAATAAATCTTACTGCACAAAATGAACATCTGTCAGTACGGGCTACATAGTGTAGTATTCTGTACTATACTACATTTAATTTGTATTATATAACTATTGATAGTTTATTTTAAATTATGTCCAGTCCTTCTGAATCAGCTGAAGAAAAACAAATTCAATAAAACTTAACTGTCTTAGAAAGATGTGCTCTACATGTATAATATCTTTAGTACAGTTCAACAGAGAAATGTATCGTTACACCTGAATTACAGAATTTTTGAACGTCTTTATCCCATTACTTCTCAAGCTTGAGCAGTCCTCTTGTTCTGGTAGAGCACGGGTAGGCAAACTTTGGCACTCCAGCTGTTGCGGAACTGCAAATCCCATGAATCATTGCAAGATTCTCACAGCCCCAGGCATGACTCCCATGGACAGATGCATTATGGAATTTTTCGTTTCACCACACATGGAGGGCCAGAGTTTGCCCACCCTTGTGGTAGGAGAACAAAGACCATAGATGGCTTCCTTTCCGTAGCAGGCGATAAGCTAAAAGGAATGTAGGCATTGGGCCATAGGAATTTTTTTCCAAACTGTAGTAGTCTGTTTTAGGAGCAATAAGAGTTTATATTTTGGCTATTTTATCACAAGAAATATGGGTTCCAAAATGTTCACAATTTCTTTTGCTGGCCTGATGATTTTCTTCCTCTAATTTTTGCAATATTTCGACACAAGTAAAAAATCCATTCAAATCTATTTTGTTGGTAGATTTGTCAAATTTGTGAAAGACAGTCTGCTTCTTCCTTTCTAAGAAGACTTTTTTTTTATTTTTTTCGCCACACTAAACCTGTTGTATTCCATTGGACTGAAGCTGGAGAATTATGTTCTCTGAAGGTGGTGCAGCTTTTTTGGGGGATTTTTTGGAGGCATATTTATAAAGTAGTGAAAGCAACATTTAACTGCTGCATTCACTGTAGGTAAATTAAAAACGTATTTAAAATGCATAGACCTTCAGTGAATGATTGATGAATGTCACATTCACTGCTTTATAAAACATCTTGGGCTCTCGTGTCAAACATTTGTAAACTGGAGAAGCACCCAGAATCCTCATACAGCAAAATAATGTAATTTTTGTTTTTACTTTTCTATATAATCTTGTCAGGTGCTTCTCCAGGCTATAAATGTTCTACACGTGAGGAGAAGATGTATCTTGGTGTATCTTGCTGGCACATGCATTTCTCAGTGATTTATTTACCTACAGTGAATGTTTGGTGAATGTTATATTCACTACTTTGAAGAAAAAAAAAAATCTCGGCCTTTCAAAAATGTCAAACTTTTATAAACTGAAAGGGCATCCAGTAAGCTTGTATAGCAAAATAAAAAATCTATCTTTTTTTTCTTTTTTTATGTCTCATTTTTTTATCACATGAATGTCCTCATTGAAATGAAGACTTTATTCACATCTGTTTACCATCCCTTTTCTAAATGTCTGGTCTTACTAAAAACTACACCGTATGTTGTAGTTTTGGGTCATCAGTCCCCAGAGCATTGTAATGTTATGTCAAGGTATGATTCTGACCCACTGTTACCTTGTCACTCCTTAAACACCCCACAATTTGTTTAAACTTATGACAGTGCTGCTACATTACACTGCATGGCCTTTTACTTAGTGTCTAAATCTGTTTCTTTTATAGAGCATATTTTTGATCAGAACATGATTGTGAGGTTAAAAAGTGCCATTTTTGGCCGATATATCGGTGCATCCCTAATAAAAATATATTTATATATAAAAATATCTGCGCCCCTATCTACACTATCCAAATTCAAACAATCTCAGCAGCGGTGCATAAAGTGATATGTACACCACTTAGAAATAGTTCTTCTTTTAGACCTGACTACTGCAAAATTAGTAGAGGGGTAAGGTCATCCCATATTGGAGGGACTGAACAGTCTGCTGTTACCACCAATTTTTCTTAGATCAGTGGAAATATTTTTAACCTCTTATATAATTCTAAATGTTAGTCGCAGGGAGAGGAAAATTTCTATCTCTTCAATTGGATCCAAAATGGTGTGTCTCAGCGTTATAGAACAACCTAGGGACTGACAAAATGGCTATGTGGGACCTGTTTGCAGTGGACATGTGGTGTTTGGAATTGCTGGTATTGGGAATCCTAACCCTGATGCAGGGAATCTCAGAAGCATGTGGGAATCACCTTACTGCTCCACAACCTTAAGGCTTCATTCACACAATTATCCCTGTCTGCTGTACCACCACAGGGGGGAGACACCCTGAATATGCCGTTTAGAAGCAGCTGCTGTCACTAGTTCAAGTTACTGATCGGGGGACAGCGGCCTCATCTGTATGCTCCGCATCTGTAATTACTCTGCATGTAATTATAATGCCTATTTCACGGTCTAGGATCCAGATGCAGGAACAGATTCCCTAAAGATTTAAACAATGTGAGTAAAAGTGAATTGTTTTAAACACAACGTCTTATTGGTTTATGAAAAGGCATCCTCACCTGGTGGGGTTCTCCCTGTAATCCCCTAACCTTGTAAGCTTCTGTAAAGGATAACAACACATTTGTATAGTTCCTTTGAATGCCCCCAAAAGTCTTTTACTCATCTGTCCACACTCCATAGCCCTGTATTATACAGGTGAAACTCGAATAATTAGAATATCGTGCAAACGTAATTGCAGTAAGTGCTGCAAAAGGGGCCCAAACCAAGTACTGAGTACATATGCATGCTTGTACTTTTCAGAGGTCCGATATTGTTCTATGTACAATCCTTTTATTGATTGCATGTAATAATCTACTTTTTTGAGGTTGTGGATTTGGGGTTCTTGGGGTTTTCATGAGGTGTAAGCCATAATCATCACAATTATGACAAATCACGGCTTGAATTATCTTGCTTTGCATGTAATGAGTCTATCTCATATATTAGTTTCACCTTTTAAGTTGCATTAGTGAAATAAATGAACTTTGCACGATATTCTAATTATTCGAGTTTCACCTGTATGTGACGACAGCAAAAGACAGTTCACAAGCCAGAGCGGAGGGGAGAGAGGATCAGGTAAGTAAAAGTCCTCTTTACAATACACAAAGACATAAAGGAGCAGTTAACTCTTGCAGTGAAGGGTTGTCCCACTAAAAGTGTAGATTGTTTTTTTGTTTTTACCCAGAGATAAGTTGTTCTGTAGCAGCTCATCAACCTGTTTCCCCCTCTCATAGCACTGTTTACTGCTCTGGAAGCCAATGCTATCTGACAATTCCAGATGTGTGTTCCTCAAAGTGTCCTGTTGTTATTCCGGCTGACTGCTACACCACTACTGCATCATGTATTATTGTAGGGTTTGGCAGGAGGAATCCCAGCACTCAGTAGGGGGACACACTATTGGACAAACCTGGAAGTGTCAGCAGTGCTACCTGGAATTCTTCTTTTCATTTATTTTTTTTCTTCAATGGTGATAGGGTGCACTCCAGCCAAGCCTGAAAAGATCACATCCATGGTGATCTTGCAGTACAGTGGAAGTAAGAACCTTCCTGCCACTAGAGCTACCACATCAGAGATGCCCACATCTGAGGCTGTAAACAGAATTCCCTGTCCAAAGACAGGGGCGACTTGTTCCACCCAGGAAGTTCCTCTGTAGGCTACAACTTACCTTACCCAAGCATCCACCATGCGTGCCTGCCAAACAGCAGGAGGTGGGGGCCAAACCTTGATTCTAATAGAGGATTGTTAATAGTTTCTGAACTTTTTGATTGTAAAGGTCTTTTGGAACCCATGAATAAGGCAGCTTGGGTGGACGCGAGTCCAAAAGAAGTGCTTCAAACCTGGAAAGGAAGGCACACTTTTTCCCTGTGGATTCTTGTCATTATGGGGCTGGGGGAGATGGATTATTTTTCCCCCACAGCATTTTATGATTTTGTCCAATGTCTCGCTGGCATGTTGGATCACCGACAAAGGATGAAAGCAACAAAGCCTTTTTGGAGCTGACCAGTACTTTAGCCAGAGAGCCCTATGCATTAGGATTGATGACAAACTAAAGCGTGACACCAAAAGTCTAAATCTGCTGCATCTGGATCCCAGAGAAATGTAAATGCTTAGATTATTTCCTCCAAACACTCCACAGGATGTAAAGTGGCATTTTCAGCAATCAACGCCGGTTTCAACATTGAAAACCATTTAGGAGACTGAGGCTAAAACAAATTGCATCAGAGCATCTTCTAAACAAGACATGGAGTGAGATTTTCTAGGCAGTACGGTTTGGGAAAAAGGGTGCATCCTCTACAGGAATGATGGTCATCTTGTGTAGGAAGGACATGCGTGGATCCACATAAGGTGGATTAGACTGCTTTTTTTGAAAATTACTCCTTAAAGGGTTTGAAGAGACAAAAACACTTTGGAGGCAGGAAAGGCCTGTCTGGGTGTTTTCACTTAAAGTAATTGAACAAAGAAAGAGGAGTTCTTTGTGGAACACTTCGATTTGTATATCCCTTGCTTGCTGTTGGAGGGATTAGCCCTCCAATTTAAAGTCTCATGTTATCATCTCATCCTAGGCTGTTTCCTACTGTTCCATCATGACTGATTGCTTCTCTTCCTAATTGAAGGTAAGTATTATGCCTCAGAGACATGCTCTACAGAGGGATCCATGTCTGACTTCACATCAACCAGCATCTCCAGACCCAGCTAGTGACTTAGTGGAGGGAGTGGTTATTATGGACCCTGTGTGCAGACAAAGTGAATAAACTGTAACATAAAGCACTCGATAGGGCTTTAACTTACGATAACTAGCCCCTTACATGTCTAAAGGTGCCCATACACTGCACGATTATCGTACGATAATCGTATGCGATCGGTTTTTCGTACGATAATCGAGCAGTGTGAACGGAGACGTGCGACCGTTTCTACTGTACGGTCGCACGTCTTCTGTCGAACCAGCATGTTCGAAAACCAGCCGGGAATCGTACGATTCTCGGCTGGTTAGAACGGTGCTCGGAAGACAAATGCCGAGCGGGCCGGTGTGCGCACGCGCACACTGCCCGTTCAGCATTGCGGGCAGCATTAAAGGTGCGGGCAGCATTGCGGGCAGCATTAAAGGTGGCCATACACTCTACAACCATCGCAAGACTTTAGTCTTGCGATGGTTGTACAGGGATTAAAAAAACGTACGATCTGCCTATCTTGGACAGGCAGATCGCACTCTCGATCATCGCAAGCCCGCCCCCCTGAGGGGCGGGCTTCCGATGACCGCAATGCTGAACAGGCAGTGGGCGCGTGCGCACACCGGCCCGCTCGGCATTTGTCTTCCGAGCACCGTTCTAACCAGCCGAGAATCGTACGATTCCCGGCTGGTTTTCGAACATGCTGGTTCGACAGAAGACGTGCGACCGTACAGTAGAAACGGTCGCACGTCTCCGTTCACACTGCTCGATTATCGTACGAAAAACCGATCGCATACGATTATCGTACGATAATCGTGCAGTGTATGGGCACCTTAATGGCTTGATGGATGCCTCAGAAGAGGTCCCATGGGCAGGTAGTTCAAACGAGGACTTACAGGTGTCACATACTGAACACTCGCGAGCACTATTTTTTGCAGGTACAAACAATCCATGTACTAAACAGACGGCAAAAGCTGTTCACCAGCGCTCACATGTAACCAGTTCTCCTACTTGTGGCAGATTTTGCCAAGTCACAAATGACACAAAATGTGGTGGTATGGGGGCAACACCACTGTTAAGCTCCACCAGGTACTACACCCATGCCCTTCCCCCCACGACAAACTGAATGGATGACTGGCCAGACCCACTGACTCTGGGAGGTGCTGGGACAATCCGACTGCGGGAGAATCGCTGCTGCAGTGGGCTACAGTCCCATGAACACTTGAAGAGTGTTGCAGTGGTTTCCGGCATGTTCAGTGAACTAATAGTCAGGACATGCATTCACAAAGCTTTGCCTATTTCCTGGAATCTACTTCCAGTAAGCAAAGGGTTCCAGGAAGAATGTAAGATAATCAAATATCTGGCCTGACACAAGTAGCAAACCTGAGAAGCATGTTCAGGGGTGTCTCTGCAAGGACACAGCTGCTTCAGGACTGTCACAGTTAAATAACCAGGTAATTAGAAAGACCTGTGCTCAGTGACTCACTGGAGAGACTTGCAGAATCTTAGTTATCCAGCAGCTGTTGACTGAAAATACAGATTCTTGAAAATATCTTAAACCAGTAATGTTGGGAGAGACATCCAAATTCCTTGAGCACACTAAGCTAAATTGAGCAAGTTTGGTAAGGGTGAGGTTATAGCCGTGGGCAGGGGAGGTGTCTAGTATCCAATCCTCCTGTAGGCAGCTGAATAACCTATAAAGTTCTGTGTCCTACAGAAAATGAGACACATGTTTTATTTGTTTAACCGTGGATGACCTATTTAAAAAAATTGACTGGAGTTGTACTTTACTCGATTGCTAGTGACACAAAGACACATACCAACCATTAGATTAGATGTTCTGGCGTCACTGATTTTTCTGATCTATATTCTGGGTCAGTCACTCAGAAAACGCTGAAGCCGTTGGATGAGCATGACCATACCTTGGAACTTGGTGGCTTTTTGCTTAGGTTACTGGCTCTCTGTGCAGTTTTCTGGCTGTCTGCTGATTGACAGGAGGGACTGCAATGTCATTCCTGTCAAGCAGAGCAGGAAGGAGATAGATGCTGTAAGGAGGATCCTGCTTTCTCCTCTCCCCACTGGCAGCCTAATGTGGGTGGAAGAGAGCAGCAAGAGGTGGGGCCTGCTGAGAATAGACCTCCTTCTCAGTTCAGATGCCTACGGGGGGAGTAAGGATGGAATACCTTTCTTCCTGTCTCCCCTTGTCATGTTACATATCACATAACCAGAGATGGGAGGCAGGGGCAACCTTCATTCTCAGGTGGGTGTGGTGCTGAAAAGGAGGTCTGAACTGTGAGTACATAGAGGGTGTGGGGCGCTTAAGGTGCCCACACACCTTGCGATAATCGTACGCACGCTGCACGTTCAGCATTGCGGTCATCGGAAGCCCGCAAGTACGATCTGCCTGTCCAAGATGGGCAGACCATACGTTTTCTTAATTACCTTACAACCATCGCAAGGCAAAAGTCTTGCGATGGTTGTAAGGTGTGTGGCCAGCTTAACTCACCCTACCTCCCTAAAGGGGCTTGCTAGCAGTAGATATATGCAAAAAAAAACGGAGGGCTTAGAAACCCTTTAAAGCTGGACTCCAGCTATAATAATTTATATATACTTACATTAGTCCAGCTTGGCACACCGTAAATATTAGGGATGCACCAATACTGGTTTTTCGGTATCAAGTACGAGTACCGATATTTGTCTGTAGGTACTCGCCAATACCGAATATCCATGCTGTTTGGCCCGGACGCCAGCTTCCCAGCCAATCAGCATAGAGCTGGCTTCTCAGCCAATCAGCATAGAGCTGGCTTCTCAGCCAATCTGGAAGACGGGAAGCGGGTCATTACCTGCCACCCGGCTCCTTTATTGGCCGGGAAGCCGGCTCCATGCTATTTGGCTGGCTCGATGCTGATTGGCTGGGAAGCCGGCGTCCCGGCCAATCAGCAGGGAGCCGGCCAAACACCATAGAGCCGGCTTCCTAGCCAATCAGGAAGCCGGGCAGTGAGTCATTACCTGCCACCCAGCTTCCTGATTGACTGGGAAGTCAGCTCCTTGTTCCCTCACAGCACTTTCCTCTGACCGGATGCTCCGCCCAAATACTCAGTATCGGCACCGATAGCGATGCTAGTTTCCTTAGTAAATATACATATGTTATCCTTAGAATGGCCATAGGGACCCAGTAAAACACTGTAGCACCTGGTACTACTACAGTTCCTTTACAGCATTCTTCAGAGTCCCGTATGGTGCTGTGCTGAGTAACTTTCCCTCCACTGTGAAAGCACAGCTGATCACTCGCTCAGCGCATCGGTCATTCAGAGAACACCTAGGGGGGAATTTATCAAACCTGGAGCAGTTGCCCATTGCAACCAATCAGCTCCTCTCTTCAGTTTGTTCAGTTAAGATTTGAAAATGAAAGAGAGATGCTGATTGGTTGCCATGCACAACTGCTCCAGATTTTGTCTGCTCCAGTTTTGATAAACTCGCCCCTTAGTATGTTTATCAATGAATAGTAGGTGTTCTCTGTTTGACATGGGGAGGTGCCCTGACATCACCACCCCTCGTCCAATCAGAGAACACCTGTAAGGGAATTTATCAAAACCGGAGCACAGAAAATCTGAATCAGCTGTGCATGGCAAAAGATCAGCTTCTAGCTTTCATTTTTTAAAATCTTAAAGCGGACCTTTATACATATCTTTAAAATAACAACAAACACGCCTTAAGAAATGTTTAGTAATGACAATCTACACACACAGACTTCTAGATAATTGCAGGCTTTGTTTAGGGCTGCGGAAATTAACAGTTAATTTCTCGATTAATCGATTAAAATTATTTTGATCAAAAATGAAAACACTCACCTCTCCGCCGGCTTTCGGGAGTCCCGTTGGAGATCCGGTGACGTCACCGGACTCCTCCCCCCTTCCCCAAGTGGCTCTGTCGGCTAACGAAGGGAATGGGGGAGAAGTCCGGTGACGTCGATGTCCGTGAAGTCACCGGACTCCTCCCCCCTTCCCTTCGTTAGCCGACGGAGCCACTTGGGCCGGTGAGTACTTGTTCTGCACCAGCACCAGCCAAGGCATTGGCCTATACATATACAGCACAGCAATGAAGTAATAAAATGAATTCATTTTATTACTTCATTGCTGTGCTGTATGTGTATAGGCCAATGTAGTTGGATCTGTATGTGCGTTATAAATAATTGATTAAAAAATGTTTTGATTAATCGAACACGAAAATTTTAATCATTACCAGCCCTGAGGCCAGCTCACTTTTTTGCCGGGCAGGAGGGGGCGTGGCTGGCCAATGAAGTGAATGGCACCGTGGCCACGCTTTCCGGCCACAATGCGATCTCACGCATGGGATCGCAAGGCACATTGTGCCTGCAGTGCGGTCCGATAATGTTTGCAGCATTTCTATGGGGGGGGGTTAGGGGCGCAAGCAGCTGGTCTTGACTAGGGTGCAAAATAGGCCGGCCCTGTGCACAGGACAACCCAATAATTAGCATTTCCCAAAAAATGGACAGCACTAGCAACCTCGATATTTATTTCAGTACAGTTTTCCTTTAATTGTGATTGTACACAAAGCCGACTTGGCACCCAGCTCATATTACAATGTCCGCAGTGCTGAGCGCCTCACTACCAGAGCACATTCTCCGGTCTTTAATGAGCAATGACAGCGTAGATGAAAATTCCACTGTATCTCCATCACTCAGCAGCGCATTACACGTCCTACAACATTAGTAACCACCGCCCGCCCTTAAAGGGGCGGGCCGGAGGAGAGTGACACCGGTGGGAAGAGCTAGTAGGGCGGAAGTGACGTAGCCGGGTAGGTTTGAATGTGCGAGAAGGAGGTGAATATGGTGATGAGCTCCGGGCTGTGCCTGGTGTAACTAGAGCTGCAGCTGTTTACCGTCACATTAGCTGGAGTCATCGTCACCTACGGGACTCAGCCTGGAGGAGGAAGTCGCGGGTACTGGAAGTACAGGTAATGTTCCGGAATGTGTGACAGTTGCACGGGTGTCATCTAGTCCTCCAGCAACTGTCCTCACTGACATAGGTGGGATGTCCACATTTCTACCGGTGTGCTAGGGAACTTCCTTGAAGTGTCACACCAGCCACAGTCTGTGCTTGCTTTGCTCACAGTGCTGATGGGTTAGGTTAGAAGTCTTGTAAGAATCGTATTGCTGAGTGTGCCCCCGCTGGGGAGCTTTATCCTCTTTATGTCCTGCTGACCATGTCAAAGGGACTTGGAGCCCATTCACACCAGGGTGGCTGTGGATCAGCTTGGTTTCCACTCTGATCTCAAAAGGGAGGTTTTGGAAGTTTTTTATTGCATTTCAGCGCTGATTAGCGCAGTACCATTGGAAGCTGTATGGAAACCGCACTGATTAGCCCGGCAAAAGAGTGTCAGGGAGCAGTTCGGGTTGGGGGTGGTTTGTATCGCGTTGAGCTGCGCGGTCGCATAGCAATGTAGGGGATCGTTCATATTGGTGGATCCTTGTGGCCGAACCGCCCCAGTGTGAATGGGGCCTTACCGTTAGAGAAAATCAAACAGTTTTGTGTTATAATTGGAACAGGAGTAATGACAAACACTTCCATTGGGGACATCTGTCTACAGAATTTCCATTACTTCGAGGATGCACAGGTACAGTTCATGAGCCGCAGTGTAGGGGGGAGAGGTCAGCGCTGACCACTGAGGGATCAGGGAGCACGTAAGTAAAAGTGCATTAAAGAATCGCCTAGACGTAAACAAGTCAGCTCTGCTTGTCCGGAGCCGAAACTGTATGTCCCGGGCGTCGGGCGATAGGAATTCCACACCCCTGTGGGAGAATAAAATATACGCTTTCCAATAGCTAGAGCTGGCGTGTAATACTGCAGCTGTCACAGGTCGGCTCTATAGATCAAGAACTGAATGAACACATACCGCTGATCACTCCGTTCACGACCTTGTCCCTGCAGAGAGCGGTCAGTGTCAGTCTCTGCAGGGATTCCCCTCTCCGTACCTTCTGCGCTGACTGGAGGGACAGATGGTGGAGGGGGCGGGTACAGCTGGCTCTGAAGTGGCAGAGCCAGCTGTCAATCAGGTAGCAGGGTGGATCCCAATAATATTGTTGAGATCTTTCCCGGCTGCAATAGCCCACTATATGCTGAGTTTGGGTCACAGGAGGACATCGTAAATATACCCCTGTGACCCAAAAGTGGACTAAAGTCAAGAAAAGGTTTGCCTATAGTTCTCTTTTAACCCTTGCAGTGTGGGGTTAGCCCAGTGCAAGGGACGGGTTTCTGTTTGCCCCCAGAAAGCCTTTGTACAAGATCACTCGATCCCCCTATCCAAGCTAAGCAGCGTGGATTGAGGAATCTCCCCTGCTAGCTATTGTATTCAGAATATCCAAACAATGACTGCAGCCGATTGGCTGGTGTCTCTGTGCAGCCAGCCAATCAATGGGTGGTATCAATTGGGCCACTCATGGCTTGAATTTCATCCAATTCACAGTAATCATTCAAAGTTTGAACCATGTATGGCCAGCTTGGCTCCTGTTGTCTATGGCTCAGGAAGTGTAGGTAAGTCTTTCCAATGAGACACACATAGGGCTTTTAAATATTCCATGCTCTATGAAACGCTAAAAAAAAAAAGAAGCCTCCTCTCTAAGGTGCTCCCAGTCACATGATTTCCTTCTAATGTACAATGCATTACATATGATGATGCCAAGGGACCTGCTCTGGGTGTTAAAGTGACTAAACTCAGGAGGAACATCTTAAAAATCCATTCAAGTACCTATTAACAAACATGTATCTTATTTGTGTATCACTCGGCTGTAGATCCTCAAATCATCTCTGAATTGGTGCTGACACTGTCCTTCCTTCTGGAGGGTGGCTACTTTTGTTCCCCCATGGCCCCTGTGTGTATGGTGCCACAGCTCCAAGCTCACTCCTGTGATGGATTACAATCTCACTACAAATTAGCAAAGTAAAGATGAGATTGTAGTCCAGCACAGGAGTGAGCTTGGAGTGATGGCAACTTTACAACACACACAGGAACCATGGGGAACAAAAGTAACCCCCCTCCAGAAGGAAGGACAGTGTCTGCACCAATTCAGAGATGATTTGGGATCTACAGCTGAGTGATACACAAATAAGATACGTGCTTGTTAATAGTTTGGGTACTGATGAGAAAAAGTTGGTAAAAGTGCTGTTGGTGCTCGTCCAACACAGACTGTGATCCAACTGTCCTGACAAGTATATGCTGAGCATGTACGGTGCTGTGGGGGAGATGTACTTAGATGACAAAAGAAACCCCCCTCCTCGACCCCCAGTTGTATGATTACCTGAATGAGAAGGCTACCTCCCACAATGATCTTCAGATCTTCTTGCTGAGGCTTTCTTCGCTCAGGTCTCACCAGCACAGTTGATCCACATAGCCACATAGCCTTTTATTGGGTCAAGGAGAGGGGGACATAGATGCTGTGTTACAACCAGTGTAGGAACGGAAGTTCAGCGCGAGCTGGACTTCATCAGCAGGTATATTAAACATTTGCGGGGAGATGGAGAAAAATCTTATAATGGCAAGTGAGTTTACAAAACCACTTGCTGAACTGGAGTTGGGCTTTAGTGCCTGTTCACACGACGTCCGTTTTCTGTGCTGACCTGATCCGTACGCTCCTGCACTCAAAATGCATCCCAATGTATCCCTATGTGTTTTATGGGCTACAGTTCTCACGTGCGCAGTCCGTTCAGGTTACAACAGAAAAAATACTGCATGTCACATTTTGTACGGTCCGGAAACGCAAAACGCGTCAAACTGCACTGCAGCTAACATACTGACAGCCCCACTCCAGCAAACTGGAACGCATCAAAAACGTGGCCAAAACGCACTGCATCAGGAGCACCGCATCTGCAGATCCAGACCTGAAACTCATGTGAACAGGCCCTTAAACAATGGAGAGATTACAAACATTCATGGTTTGATCTAAAAATACATCAGAAAACATATTACATTTTATGGGAAGTGATTCAATTACTTGTAAAGAGGCTTTGGAGCTGTACCATAATTAATTTTTAAAAACAGTCAGGAGATCTGCATTATTGTGTTTCTATGCTGTTATATCTATGGTCCCGGACGATTTTATTGATCATTGTACGCGTTCCCAAAACACAGGCTTTTTATTTAGTTGTAGGATACAATTGCTACCCAATGTTTGCAAGCATAATTCTTAGAGGTGCACCAAAATAGAAATTTAAAAACCGAAATAGAAAAAATTGTCAGGATGAAACCGATACCGAATGTTTTTTATTTTAATCCCCGCACCGATCTGCCGCACTGTGATAGGCGGCCTAGGGGTGTGGGAGAAGAGACACCGGCCGCTCACAGCCCTCTTGTCCCGCAGCGCTCGGCCAGCTGTCACTCTCTCACCTCCACGCTGGGACATGGAGCAGCGGGGAGGGAAGAAAGCACGGATGCGGCGATGTATTGGCAGGAAAATGGCACTTTCGGCATTACTATTTTAAAGGAAGTAAAAGTCCCAGTTTTCCTACCTGAAACCAGGGTCACGAGATGGGCCATGGTCTTAATTGTTTCTTCTGCTTTGTAGTGTGGGAAGGTCCATAATGCAGAGCCCATGTCACCTCCTGGTGATGTAAACACTGGCTGCGAGGGATGCCCATCAAATGGCCCTCAGAGGGTCTTCTAGTCTTAAAGAAGAACGAAATTCTGTAGGCTGGCGGTGGGCTTTTGCCATAATGTGCACCAAGTTCTGCAACACTCCTCTTCATCCTTTAGACTGTCATTGACTAAGTAACTCCTGTGCACGCTCCTGTGCAACTCATGTGCACACAGGAGTTGCATCGACCCATGTTTTATTATGGGCATGCCAAGAATGAGCTGATATGTACATTAAAAGTTTTGTGGGGAAAAAAATGCATGTGTTTTTGGCCAGAAAATTCTTTACTGGAGTACTCGAGTCTAACTGTTTAAGCAGCATTGTCCTAATGTCAAGGGGAGATGGTAAGAGGACCTGTTTGTTGCACAGAGAACAGCTAGCAGATCGCTGGTCTCCATTACCGGAAGAGGTGCTGCGGATTCAGGAAAGTCATTTAGCTTCTCCTATGTACAATAAAGTATTAACGTGCTCTGAACAAGTAGTAAAAGGGCTTCAAAACAAGCCCCCGTTCAGCTCTGGCATTGGGCATTGTGTAGAAATTCATCTTCAGACTTCACTAAAGGTGCCCATACACCTTACGATTATCGTACGATAATCGTATGCGATGGACTTTTCGTACGACAATCGTAACGTGTGAATAGTACTGTACAATGGTACAATGTTCGAATAGTTTCGTCCGATAATCGTAAGGTGTATGGGCACCTTTAGTTCACTGATATCACAACCCCCTTTCCTTTCCTTTCTACGGAAGCAGGCTTGGCAGACTGCCAGCTTTCTAATGTAAACGCACATCAGGTGTTCCGAGGCTGACTTGGTCCCTATTCATACTTGTGCAGCATGTGAACGAGTATTGGGCTTGCGGTGCCATTCATTGTAAATACTAACCCAAACCCTCCAAGCAAGACGAGTGTTTTTCAAGTGGCAAACGTGCAAAAAGCTCTAAAAGTAACACCAGTGTCCTTGCTGCGTTTTGTTGTGCGTAGGGCAGTCCGTTGCAAAGAATAAGGATATTGCCACTAACAAAAATAATGAAGAGTGTCATCCCACCTCTGTATTTATCCCCTTGTAGTCTCTTTTTACTAATTGTAATGAACCCTGATAGATAATGCTCTATACTCTGTCCTAAATGATCAGGTCTGTGGGTGTATTTTGTATTGTGCTACATATGTAAACATAAGATTCTGCTTTCTGGATTATAATGAGATTATTGTAATGTGCAGCTTCCAGCCCTCTGTTATAAAACAATGGATGCAGTCATATCCTGGAATCGGATGCAGTAGAGCAGGGAGTTAATTTTATCAGTCCAAAACAATGTTGTTTAACCCCT